AATTTATGGGTAAGATTAACATGTGCATGCCCTTATAACGTATCTGGAATCAATCTTATTGATCGGGCTTTTGAAGCCTGATCAAGGTTTTTTTTTTTTTTTTTGCCCCTTTCAAATATGCTAATTAAATTCACAAGATAATTTTTTAGAATTATGTGTTATTGTATTAATTATTTTTAAAATAATTATTAAATTAGTGTCTTAAGAATGTCATCAAATTATCATCACCATAGTTTTTAAGAGAAAAATTGTCTCTGCATTAGTATCTAAATATTATCGTGCTTTTACCTTAATCTTTTATATGAATGAAGATGATAACATTTTACAACTTCAGAAAAATTAACTAATTAAGTGACTATTTTTTTAAAGAATTAAATTTTTAATCAAAATTTCTAAAAGATTAATACCATAACATGTATTAAGATCTATTCTTTTTCACAATTAGTAAAAGGTTTCATTTTAAGATAATTATGATACAAGTAAGATTTACTCTTTAGATAGGGTACTCCAAATATTATGGAGCCTAAAAACCCATTTTTGATAAGTGAGCTAGTATATATTTTGGATGGAAAGCGCAATAGCATAAAAAAAAGAAAGAAAAAAAGAAAAGATCTTGATATTATTATGTCTAGTTCGTCAAATCAAATAGACTCAAAGCTATAACCAGAAAAAGTTTGGTTTGGTTTTTCCTGAGATTTTTTAATCTTTTCCTAGTTAGATCTGAAGCGTAAACTTGTGCATCGGATATATGTATGATGAATTGTTTGTGGCGGGTCATGATCGAACCACAAATAGGTCCCTTCCTTAGTATTCAAAACATGTACACCACAGAACTTGAAAACACACATGCACTCACTAAGTAGACAAAGAATGTGATGATTCACGAATTAGTTCTCTCAAACTGATTACAAAGGAACCCCACATTAGGACTTTGGTAGTTTCATGTTCATGCCAACTGAAATAATAATCCACACATTATCCAAACGCCCTCATGGGGTGTTTTGGTTTATTGCTATGAACCGAATATGATGTTGGTTTAACGTTTATTATAAAATACTATCATCACAAAGCCATCCCGCACTGATATAAAAAGTATAAAAATGATTATTTTTATCAGCAGTTAATTATAATAATTTCATAACAAAGAAAAAAAAAACTAATATGAGAAGGTAATTTTAGAAAATAAATAAGAGATAAAATGGTTTATGTTAAATAATAGTATAAATAAAGACTAAATTATACTTTTGGTTTCTTTATTTTTATCAATATATTATTTTCATCTTCCATTTTAAATCAGAGATGTTTAGTATTCTATTTTAAAAAATGTGAAATTTTACTTCTCTTAACAAATTAATATCAGTTAATTATTATGTTTAATGTTTACACATAAATAAATAATGTTACATGACATTTAGAAATTAAATTTATTAATATAACAAATATCAATCATAGGCTAAAATGAAGATATTTTATATACTATTTTATGTTTTATATCTAAATATCACATCATTAAACGTTACACCACTTAAAATGATGATAAATCATGTTAAAATTTAATAATTAATAAATATTAAATTAATAATAAAACCAAAATTTTAAAATTTTAAATTTTAAAATTAAAAATTAAAAACTTTTATTTTAAAATAAAATATGAAAATTATATATTAAAAAGTAGTTGATTAAAATTATAATTTAGTGAGATATATATAAAAAAAAATATAATGCCCTGTATCATCTTTGACTTGAACATATGTGGTAGAAGGTTGGTTGGTGTTTCAGATATGGTTTTGTGATATGAAAGGACAAATTGAAAAGCATTATGGTCGGCAACCTCACATGATTGCTTGATTTAAGTACCCTCTCGTGCAAATTGTGATGTCAACGTCCTCCTCCACTATCTTTTTTCTTAATAAGTTCGTGTTCGGATTTGGGTCAATGTCTTCGGCCTGTCAAATATGGACCTTAATTGGCCCTGAGAGCTTGTTGGGTCGATGTCTTCGGCCTGTCAAAAATGGAAATAAAAAAATCGATAAGGTATAGCAATGGCTATGGAACCTTCAATTATGACAACTCAGCAAGAAACCAAAATTCTAACGTTCCTATTCTTAGGTTTCAAAATCCGGTTCTCTCCAAAAAAAAAAAAAAAACAAATCAAAATCCTGCATCCAATTTATTTCCTTCTTGTGCGTTTGGGCCTCTTGGAATAAGTATTAGTGTGGTAATATCTGTTGGGCTCGTTAATGGGCCTATCTTTAAGTTTCTTCTCTTGCGATGCTTCATGTAGATCCAAATTTTGATAGGCTTATGATATATACACCACCTTTTTATTATAAGTACACCTTTCTTTTTTTATTTTTTAAAATAATTTTAATTTTTTATCCTGTGTTTTTTTAATTTTACTCATTTATTGTTTAACTTATAATTTTCTTCTTATTTTTTTAGGTTCATAATATTTCAAGAATTTATTTTTATTAAAAAAAAGGATGTGTACTCATAAGTCAAACAGAGAAAGATAAAGATGTATGTAAAAAAAATTAAAAAATACTAAATTTGAATATTAGATACCTAAAAATAAAAAATAAAAAATTAAATATATTTTAAGATTTTTTTTATTAAAAAAATATGCTTATCATAGAATGGAGGCATATGTATCATATACCTTTTGATATTTTGTACTTATGATAAACACTTGAGCATCATACTCAATGATTGGAGTAACATTTGAGTGTTGAATCTAATTTCTTTTAGTTGGTCAATTGGTTACTAATTTTTGATGGCCATTCATTATGGTATAAATGAAGGATTTTTTTTAAGAAATCCAATAACTGAAGGATTTCCACTCATTATGGAGCTAAAATGAATACTTATACATGCACTTATATGAAGGAAAAAAAAAGCGTCTAATCCAAGTGACAATTACAAGAAATAAAATGGAAAATTCTCTTAAAATAAAACGTGTAAAAGAATTATATCTACCTTTATTAAAAAAAATTACTAAATAAATCAAATGGAAATTTTGAATGTACATTGTAAATAGCAGGTACTGTTTAATTCTTTATTTGTTTATCCGATTAATGTTAATTGTTTATTTTATTAATTACATTATTAATGAAAAAATTAGATAGAAAATAATTATTCTTTATAACCGAAGTATAATATCATATACTGTGATACATGTTATTCAAAACTTTATAATTTTGACATGTACTTCCAAATCTTGAAAACTATTGCGAATTTAACACATTATCTAAACTAATAATTGGATTATATTTAGCAATTATATATAATTGTGATAAAAAAAAATGACTTCTCTATAACAAAGGTAAGAAAAAGTGTAAAAAATTACATTTTTCTTTATTAAAAAATAACTAAAAATTTAATTCAAAACTTGAATGTACATATTAAAATATAGTTATTGTTGATTACTTATTTCTTCACGTCATTAATGTTAATTGTTTATTTCATTAATTTAGTAAATAAATATGCTTAGTAACAGAAACAAGTATTTATGAAACATACAAAAAATTATGTGTAATATATTGATTCATGTACTCCGATCTTCAAAGATAACGCACATTCGACATCTGTCATTGAAACTTATAATTAGATTCATAATTGCACATTCGACATCCTCGACTATGTTTTTTTCTTGGTCCATGTGTAGTCTATGCTTGAAATCAGTTTTCATATTTATAAGGGTCCAATTTGTGCTAGGATTTGGGTCAATGTTTTCGGTCTCACAAATATGGACCTGTGAGCTTGTTTAGCCCAGTAATTAAACATACAGGCCCAGACTGAACCACAAAGAGTTGATCTTTCTTAAACTTGGATAAAATCTCATAGACAACTTGTTTTTTTTAAAGAAAAAATTAATAGTGATAAACTATATTAAAAGTAAAAATTATATAGAGATAATTATTCTCTTGTGGTTTAGAATTTTATGGCAAATACAAATTTGGTTTCATGGTATTTAGAATGTGCATTATTTAGATATTTATCTTGGGATAGTTTTACACTGATTGATTAAAATGAAAAAAAAAGGGAAATAAAGGAATAGAATATAATTTTTTTATTGCTTGTTTCAACGAAAAATAAACAAGAAAAGAATGTTCATGTGGACTCCATGTGTAAATTTCTTTTTGCTAGCTTTTTTTAATCATATCATTGATACAGAATATTCATGGTAACCACTAATCTTTTTGAAAATTGTGAACTAACACAAAATAATCTTTCCACTAGTTTTGGAAAGAAAGGAGTAAAACTGTGAATTTATTATAAAAGGACAAAAATATCCCTAACCTTTCATTAGTCTTTACTATTAACATATGTGTGTACTACATATATAAATTACTAATATTTTAATTTGTACAATACACATACTAAATATTTATTATATATAAGTAAAATTTATAATAAACTATATACATTATTAATTTATATTAAAATATATATATAAATAGATATTTTTAAACATAAATTATATTTTAAATTTATTAAATGAGATTAAAAAGAAATAAATGGATAGTGTAAAATAAACATTTATAGATTATATAAATTATATTTTAAATTTATAATAAATTATTTATATTGTGATACCTGATTAACTTTAATTATCAATAATTTATTTTTAAAATATCAAAAATTATTTTTTAAATAAATATGATAAAAATTAAATAGATAAATGGTTAAATAATTTTCTAAAAAAATATTTATAAATATTATTAATTTATGATTCTAATTTAAATTCTAAAAGTTTTAAATTTCTAAAATTTATAAAATTCTTCAATCCGAACACTCGATAAATATATTTATTTCTTTTTATAAATATTCATCTTTCTTTCTTCTCATTTTTTATCCAACTAAACAATAGAAGAAAAAACACATACTCTCTTTCCTTTTTACTTTCTTTTATACCCAAAAAATAAATTAAAAAAAAAAACTATATCATTTCTATTCTGTTTCCTTTCTTGCTCTATATATATTTTTTTCATTTTCCTTAGTAAACCAAACAAATCAGGCCTTCAAGATTGATACGACAGACAAATCATGAGGAGTAATAAGATGATACATGGACCATAAGATATTCAAGCCAACCCCATAAGTTAACTCTCTGGAGTGATATATCAAGCTAGATCCAAAGCAAAGCTTAAAATGAGTATAAGTTACAAGCAAGCAAACTCTGGGTTCTGAAGGCACAGTGCAACCAGATTTGTTGCAACAACAATGACCCTTAGACCAACTCTAACAGCATGAAGAAAGAAACATTGGAGACATTTGATATATCAAATGAATGATAGATCTGCATCAAAAGAAAGAACCAAGCAAGGCAGTGAAGAAGATAAAATCAACCCATGCTGCGATGATTTGCATAGAAGTAATTGGTCATTTTAGATTTCCAGCAGATCGAGACCGGTTAATTAGAAAGGTTTTGCTTCTCTTATTGACAAGAGTTTTGAATATGATTTCAGGTATGATAATAAAATGAGATAGTATGCAACAAAGTTTACCTTATTCTGCAACGTTTGAGATGACAAGCTAAATCTGCTTTGGACAGATATAAGGACATGCAAAAGCAGAAGAGTGGGAAAGTGGCTTTCGGACAAATGGATGGTGTAAGAGTTGAGCAGCGGTGGGACGTTCATCTGGATTAACTTCGAGACACTGCCAGATAAAATCCTGTGCATATGTTGAAAGAGATTCGGGCACCTCAGGTGGCTCCCCATCTTTAATTAAAAACAATGCTTCCCACTGCATAAATGCAATGCCTCAGACATTAACATATACATTCTTGAGACAGAATCAAAGTTGGGTAATGTATTGTTTATGAGTAAGAACTGTTGAGATAAACATCTCCCCAAACACTTTCAGAAAAGAAAAATATGAAGAAAAAACAAAATAAACTTTTTTACAAGTTACAATTAATTAATTTACAAAAACACTTTTCTAAACTTTTTTAAAATATTCTTTTTAAACTTATATACAAGTACTTGAAGAGAAATTTATGGAAAGTTAGATACATACCCATTCAAAGGTATGGTATGGAATTTTGGCCGTTAACATCTCCAGCACAGTGCATCCCAGACTCCATATATCAGCCGGAAGCCCATAAGATGTTTTTCCCCCCCCCACGTACGGTACAACCTGCATCATAACCACTAGCTAAACGATGGATATTTTGCAATTGCAAACTTTATTTTCTTTCTATTATTATTGGGTACTATGGGGGCTGATGAAGCCCAGCAAATTGTTTAAAGAACAAAGGGATGTTTCTTTTCATATCATTGAGATAAGAGGGTACCAATAAGACATAATTTTTTCAGCTTGTTTAAAAATAAATTATGATGTATAAAAAATAAACCAATTCACATGTCTTGGTGGTGCACACTAGAACCTAATCAAGATATGATATTTATTTGAGATTAAAAACATTTAAATGTTGGAGTATTTAAAAACCAACATATTTCAATGGTTTTTTTTTTTTTTCTAAAGTGAAAAGTTAATTTTTTGTGATATTTTGATAAAATTTATAAATATCACACTTGTCTAATAATCTTATCTCTAAATTCTTGAAATTTCATCTCACTTTTTTATTTTCTCTCTCTTTTTTTTTTTTTTCTTTCTCTCTCTCTTACTTGTGTGTTTTCTCCTTTGTCACTTCTTTCTCTCTCTCTCCACTTTCCTCCTCCTTTTTCTTTTTTCTATCTTTCTGCTGTCAATCATTATTAATGTAAAAGTTATAAATATTTATAATTTAAATTATGAAATATTTAAAATATTTTGAATTATTAAATATTTTAAAAATTGACTAATTTTTATTTCCAGTAAAAAAATTGAAATTTCACTTTTTAGACATATCTAAAAAATAAATTTCGTATATGATTAAAACTAAATCCCCTAATCTAAATTAGATAGTTGAAGTTTAAGAAATTTAGATTATTTATCCAAATAAAACATGTAAAAAGTGAAGAGAATTTAAATCGATTCATATTTCAATCATTTAAAATTCTTTTAAATTTTAAAATATCTCACCCCAATACAACCTATAAATTTTCTTGCCTATTAATGTACCTTCAAACAATAGAAAAGATAAAAATCAAAGAATCTCCGCATAAGATAGTGAAAATTTTAGTGTCTAAATTATGTGCAATGCTAGCTTGAATACAACTATATTGTTTATATGTAAAATAATGTATATATGTATTTATATATATTGGGAGAATATATCATGAGAATGTTATTTTTTTACATGAGAATACTCAATCTCAACCTTTGAATTGAAATAAATAAGTCTATCACACTTATTTCACTCAATAATTCACGTTCTACATCAAATTTAACCAATTCAACCGTTGAATTAAGAACAAGTTTTACCTACACTTACTTTGTTTCATTAAGATCCACTTACTTCAAGAATAATTACTTGATAATTCATGTGGTACAATAAATTTTAATGAACTAACTGTTAAATTAAAACTTCTTAATACATAGATCATTTTTGCAAAATTTAAAAAAATTTGAGAACTATTTAATACTTTACTCTATTAATATAAATCAACGGATAAAATACTTTTATAATTATTCGTCAATTTAAATTGATGAAACGAAATATCAAATAGTTTTCAAATTTTTGAAAATTTGCTAACTTGATCTATACATTAAAAATATTTAATTTAACGGTTAAATCATTGAAATTTGATATATAACTTAAATTATTGAATGGAATAAATGAATCTCTCCTCTCTAGAGATGAAAGATCCATTTCCTTCGAGAATAAGTCTAGTTAAATATATTCCACTCAATAACTCATGTTCTACATTAAATTTGAGAGATCAAATCGTTAAATTAAATTTTTTTAATACATAAATCAAATTTACTAAATTTTTTTAAAAAAGTAAAAACTATTTAATATTTCGTAATCTCATTTCATTAATTTAAATTAACTGTGTATATAACTTTGTGCGAATATCTTGAAAGTCATGAACAAATGCCTAAAACAATTTCATGGGTATACATTTAAATTAACCGGCATTCAAATAGTGTATATAACTTTGTACAAATATTTTGAAAGTCATACACAAATACCTAAAAACAATTTCATGGATATACATTTAAATTAACCGGTATTCAAATAGTCTATATGATTTTATGCGAATATTTTTAAAGTTATACACACTTGTCTTAAATAAATTACCCACAAAATTAGTTATTCAAAAGATTATATTAATTTTTTTTATATCGAAATCTTTATCATTTTTTTATTAACTCTTATATCTTTGAATATTTATTAAAGAGCTATAGAATCCTCCTAAATTTTATAATTTCACAAAGTCCTTTTAAATCTATTAAAATATAAATCATAAAATCTTAATTATAAAAATCTTTTTAAAAAAATTGGATAAATTATTATATTAAGACTTTTTTATACCAAAATAGTCTTTAAAATCTCAATAGCTATGCTGCCAAAGTTTCTTTAGATAATTTAGACTTTGAATCGGCCAAGTAGTGAGAGCGGTATACGGTATTATGTTCAAACTCTGGTTTCTCATCGTAAGATGGATTAAAAAAAATAGTTTAGGCCTTCACTGATTTGAATCTTACAACTCTAGGGACCTGAATCTGTTCTCTATATACTTGTACAATTCCTTCATGTAAATTACATCCAAGTTGTGTCATCACTAATTATATCCAAGTTGTGAATAAGTGGGACATATGAAAAAAAAGATAAGGTATTCAGTACAATAATTTTAGTCAGACCCAGAAGATGGCCAGTGATTAAGCTACTCGATCATTTTTTTTGGGTTGAACTCGAAAAAATTAAGCTACTCAATCAAAAGTACAAAACCAGAAACTTGGCGATTAAAAATAATTTTCGCTTTGCTATTTGTAAAACATTCTACTATAATGGAAACAAAGTAATAGAAACATGTAACTTGTAGCATTATTCAACAAAGAGAAATAAGAAAGAATTATAGCAAAACTACAGCCTCCCCTCACAGAGCAAGTGTTCCATAGAGAAGAAACTGATAGAATCAGAATTGAAACTGAAGGGCATTATTTATACTATAGTTACTGAATCAAGAGGGATCAGCCTTTGTTACAATATTCAAAACATAATCTATTGAGAAATGGTATCAGCACACTCTTTTAATCACACTCTCTTTTATTAGTTAAAATATATGAAAAATATAAAATTTAGTAGATCTCAGATCCTATACTTATAGTGTTACTCTTTATTTAATGGGCCCATGGCTGAAGAAAGGCTTAGACTTGATCTTTCTTTTTTCTTTTTTATCTTACAATGGTATTTAAAGGGTTCAAACTTAGGATTTTTCACATACTACTCTTACTCTCCACTACTAGGCATTGACTCAATCTAGTACCATACTACCATAGATCCAGCAACAAACTTAATAATTAACTGTTAAAAAATTACTATTAAGAAGCTACAAACACCCATGTCTGACCCATTATTAAACAACTCTCTTTAGAAGAGAAGATTGAAGGCAAACCTCTGGGGCCATCCACGGTACTGTTCCCTTGCATGAGTTAACATCGTTCAATTTGATTACCTGAAAAACAACAGCAATAAAGCAATATTAGAAACTGGAAAGATAAACAATTAAAAATTGCTCAGAAACAAAAGAAAGACATTAACTGAGAGGTCACCTTTGCCATTCCAAAATCTGCAAGCTTAACAGATCCGTGTTTATCCACCAATATATTTGAACATTTAATATCCCTTTAATAGAGAGGAAATAATTAGGTAATATTTACAAAGATTGTTTGTTGACATTACATAAATGAAACAGAAATACAGAAAACAACGAAATTATGAGAATATTGTTGGGAAAGATACCAAATATAATCACTTTATATAAAAGCTAGCAGATAATTAATAATTACATGATCAAACTTTTTCTACATTTTGTGTAATCACAATGAGACAAAAATATTTTCCATTATAAATTAATGGGATTACAAAAGTTGAAATAATAATAATAATAATAATAATAATCTCATAAATATGTGGCTAAACACTCTTTAGATATGCATTCAAAAGGATTCACCCTCTCAGATAGAAGTGAGGTTAAACTTATCTAAAACTTTCTTTAAATTCTCTTTGTATTTGTTTTACAAAGGATGCATGTAAACAATGCAAACACAAGCTTTTATAACAAAAGTTGATACCTATATGAGTAGCCTAAAGTATAGGAGAATTTTTCTCCCTTTCCTTTCAATTGAGTTTCTATAAAACTCACATATCTTATTTCTTTCCTTATTTTTAGTTATTAATATATTGATTTGTATTTCGTTGTTTTTCTCTTCTCCGCTAAAGAAGGAAACATATCAATCTCCCCTTTCCTGATTTAGGTGGAAAGCTCCAATAGTTCAACAACTCATTTGCAAAACTCGTATTTATCCTTAAGTAAGGGCTTGATCATCATATATGAGCCGTTGTCATCAATATGGATTTTCTCAAGTTGTAATTGTTTGTTTTCCAATATATCTTGTATCCAATAATATCTCACATCAATGTGTTTCGACCTCAACTGAAAACTAGAATTTTTGCTCAGGTGGGTTGCACTCTGACTATCGCAATGCACGTTATACTTTTGTTGTTCATGCCTTAACTCATGCAAGAAATGCTTCATCCATAACATTTCTTCACAAGCTTTTGTTATTGTAATGAACTCTGCTTCTGTGGTAGACAAAGTTACACACTTTTGTAACTTTGACTCCCACGATACCGTTCCCCCTGAAAATGTAATCAAGAATCTAGAATTTGACTTTCTAGAATCAATATCTCTCGCCATATATGCATCTGTGTAGCCAATAAGTTCGAGTCTCCTACTTCCAAAGCATAAACTCATTTTGGAAGTTCCTCTTAAAATCTACTTTACAACATTCCAATGCTTTTTCCCTAGATTAACTAGATATCTACTAACAACTCTAACTACATGTGTTATAACTGGTCATATACACACCATTGCATACATTAAGCTTCCAACAGTTGAGGCATATGGTACCTTGCGCATCTCCTCCTTTTCAACTTCACTTGTAGGACTTTGCTTTGAACTTAGCACAAAGTGACTAACAAGCGGAGTAGCAACTGGCTTTGCTTTCTCCATGTGAAACATACCAAGAATCACAACTTTCTCCTTCTCGATATATTTTTCTTGTGATAACCACAACTTTTGTTCCTCCCAATCATGATAAATGGCCATACCAAGAATATGCTTTGCGGGTCACAAGTCTTTTATAGCAAAGGACTTCTTCATTTCCTTCTTCAACTTGCTGATTTTCTCACTATTTTGTCCTACAATTAACATATCATCAACATACAAAAGTAGTATGATTAACTCACCATCAATAAATCTCTTCACAAATACACAATGATTAGAAGTAGTCCTTCAATATCCATGTTCAATCATGAAGGAATCAAACTTCTTATACCATTGATGCGATGCCTGCTTAAGTTCATATAAACTCTTCTTCAATTGATATACTAAATCTTTTGTACCTTTGATTTTGAATCCCTCTAGCTGCTCCATGTAAAGTTCTTCTAAATCACCGTGAAGAAATGCAGTCTTTACGTCTAATTGTCCCACATCTAGATTTAAACTTGCGGCCAAACCAAATACCACCCAGATGGATGACATATTCACCACGGGTGAAAATATTTCTTTAAAATCAATGCCTTTCTTCTTACTGAAGCCTTTCTCAACTAACCTCGCCTTATACCTAGGTCGTGAGCTATTCTCCTCACTCTTCAATTTGTACACCCATTTGTTTTTTAGTGCTCTTTTACCTTTCGGTAACTCTACCAATTCATAAGTTTGGTTCTCATGTAAGGATCGCATTTCTTCTTGTATGGCCTTTAACCACTCTCCCTTGTGGTAATCCAACATAGCTTCTTCATAAGACTCTGGTTCTCCCCATCAGTGAGTAAAACATACTCTGTTACAGGATATTTGGTTTGTGGTTTAGGTATCCTAGCCGACCTTCTTAACTAGGGCTCTTGAATATCTTGTCCTTCTTCCCCATAATCTTCATTCATATCACCATTGGCACCATCGTTCTATTATCAACTATTGGATCGTTATGACTTGGTGTTTCATTTTCCATATCTTCGACATCTTCTATTGCATCTCTCCCATAATGGTCTGAAAGAGGAATTGTGTCCAAGTTGATTTGATGTTCTCCAGAACTAACAGACTTAACACTTTTCTAAATATCTTCAATATTCTGGTCTTTAAAGAAAACAACAACTCTACTTCTAATAATCTTTTTATCAATAGGATCCCATAGCTGGTATCCAAATTCTTCATTTCCATATCCCAAGAAGTGCATTCCTTTGACTTGAAGTCGAGTTTTGGTCTCTCATATTTTGGAACATGAACAAATGCTCTATAACCAAACACCTTTATATGGTTGTAGGATACATTTTAACTTGTCCAAAACTTGTTTGGAACTTCACCATTCAATGGAGTTGAAGGGGATAAGTTGATCAAATCAAATGCAGTCATTAGAGCCTCGCCTCAAAACTCTTGGGTAACTAGGCATGAGATAACAATGTTCTCACTCTTTCAACAATGGTTCTATTCATTCTCTCAACCACTCCATTATGCTGAGATGTCTTCAGAATATACCGCTCATGCCAAATTCCATTACTTATGCAATAATTTTTGAAAGCTCCCATAAATTCTCCTTCGTTGTTAGTATGGAAAATTTTTAACTTAATTCCAGTTTCTCACTCAACACTAGCATGAAACTGTTTGAATATCATGAACACCTGATCTTTTGTTTTGAGGGTATATGCCCAAACATTCCTAGAGTGATTGTTAATAAAGGTAACAAAATACCTTGCACCTCCATGAGTACTGGTGGTCATTGGACCACAAACACTAGAATGCACCAAATCTAAAATATTTGGTTTTCTATGTGGGGCCTTATAGTGGAATGAAGCTCTATGTTGCTTTCCAGTCAAACAATGTGTACATGGCTTAAGTGAAAATTTTGATCCTTTCACACCTGCCAATATATCTCTTTTCGCCAAAATTTGGAGCCCTTTCTGACTCATGTTCGAGCCATTTATGTCATAGTTCAACTAGAGAGTCTTCTTTGAGAGCATTAACGCAACCATTATTCACTTTTTGGATTCTATGAAATAAAGAGTGCGGGATTTGTTTCCTCGGGCTATCACTAGGGAACATTTTGTTAGCTTCCATTTTCTATCCCTAAATACACTAGTATAGCCTTCTTCGTCTAGTAGGCCAGTAGATATTAGATTGAGACACATATCAGGAACATGTCTCACATCTTTCAATGCTAGGCGACAACTTGTGTTTGTTTCTAGGCAAACATCTCTATTGCCCACAATCTTGGATATATTATCATTCCCCATCCTCACATGACCAAAATCACCGTTTGTATAGGAAGAAAAGAAATGCCTTCATGAGGTTACATGAAATGATGCACCAGAATCCACAACCCAACATGTATCTTATGATGTCAAGTTGACAAGAGTATTATCACAAACAAATATTACTTCATTGCCATGAAAAATGGTGGTGGCTACATTACTCGCATCACCATTTTCTCGTTGCTCCCTTTTGAGCTTCCTACATTCTCTCTTCATATGGCCTTTCTTATGACAATAGTAACACTTTACGTCACTTCTTATCCTCAACCTTCCTCAACTTATCTCTTGACTTGCTCCTTGAATTGTCTCTATTGTTGAACTTTATGTGGATGCTTTTTCCACGATACTCTATGACAAGCACCTCAGACTTTGCCGACATTCCTTACTTCTTTGTTCTTGATTCTTCATTGAAAATGCTATCTTTTACTATGTCCAATGTTAGAACACCTTGTGGTGTTGAGTTACTCAATGAAATCACAAGTGTCTCAATTTTCTAGCAAAGAACTAAGTAGTAACAATTAATGCCTATAATTCATCATCAAGCACCATCTTCATATTGGTGAGTTGATTCACCAATCCTTGAAAATCACTCAAGTGTTTAGAAACACTGCGAGTCTCTCTATACTTGATGTTCACCAATCATCGAATAGTAGAGGCTTTATTCTGGGCCGTCTTTCTCTTGTACAACGTTTCTAGTTTCATCCATAACATGAACACAATTGTTTCTTGTGCAACGTTATAAAAGACACTTTGATCTATCCATTATTAAATTTGTCCGATAGTTTTTCTATTCATTAATGTCAAAATAGAATCAGACATTGCATATGGTTTCTTTCCTTCATTTTGCCAAGGTTCGTACAAATCTTTACAGTAGAGAATGTCCTCCATTCTTGGCTTCCAAATGTAGTAGTTGGAAGAAATTAGCTTAATCATTGTTGTCGATGACAGGTTGACTCATCCATTATGAATAACATAAGATAAATTGCGTAATAAACCAAAGCTCTTGATACCACTTGTTGGGGAAGATACCAAATATAATCACCTTATATAAAAGCTAGGGGATAATTAATAATCACATGATCAAACTTTTTCCACACTCTATGTAATCATAATGAAACAAAAATATCTTCCATTATAAATTAATGGGATTATAAAAGTTGTAATAATAATAATCTCACAAATATGTGACTAAACACTCTTTTAATATTACACTCAAAATGATTCACCCTCTCACATAGAAGTGAGGTTAAACTTATCTAAAACTCTCTTTAAATTCTCTTTGTATTTATTTTACAAAGGATGCCTTTGAGCAACATAAACACAAGCTTTTATAACAAAAGTTGATACCTATATGAGGAGCCTAAAGTATAGGATAAATTCTCACTTTCCTTTCAATTGAGTTTCTATAAAACTCATGTATCTTATTTCTTTCTTTATTTTTAGTTACTAATATATTGATTTGTATTTCCTTGTTTTTCTCTTCTCCATTAAAGAAGGAAACACATTAAATACTGCACAATGCCAAAAAAGAAAAAACTCTAGCCATTGAAATTTCCAACGCTGAAACCCTCATGTGACATGTATGGTTTATGCAGTTCCAAAGACAAGGAAATGTCCCACATACTCTACATCTAGAGCTTAAATACTTATTTTCATTGGATAGTTCTCATATTTCTTTTAGATTTAGCGAATCATTCAACCTTGTGAGCTTAAACTTGTCCTGTATTGACCAAAACGATTTTCCTTTGTGAACACACTCAACAATAATGAAGTAATAAATTGTGAATGATATAGCATGTCAATTAAAGACTTAATGAAAAAAAATTGTGAATACAAATCACCATAGAGGAAGGTAAACCAAAGAAGACCTCAAGTGCTTGTATAAATTTGGAATCATGTTATCTCGAGTGTGTCTTAGTTTTAGTCATTCATTCTATTAATCTATAACCAGCACAAGAATTTTAATATACCTTGAGCCCTAAAACTTAATTGGACTTCGCATATTAAAATCAATCAATGCATACTTGTGAAATTTGGTTTCATTGATTGCGTAGAAAGTTGTTAATTCAATTTATTTTGATAATTAAACCATGTTATGATTCTTGGAAAATATTTTTGAAATGTTAAATTTGAGTATCGAGACAGAATTTCTAAAAATCTCAAGTTGGTACTGTTGTAAATTTGCAATAGATTATAAAATCTATGTAACAAATTAAATTGCTCTCAATTGTTTTTCAGAAACGTAGAATAGGACTATTGATTACATGAGATGTTTAATCGATTGTAGAAACAGGGGAGGCTCAAGACATTTGCTAAAATAAATAAATATGATACATATATTTAGTGTAAAAACAAATAATTAAAAATATTTTTAATATTTTTAAAGTGTAGATACTCGTAAGTACGAAAGTACTTGTTACTTAACCTGATGTGCATTAATGGTATAAACCGAGAAATGAAATGCAAAATATGGTAAAAGTGGACCTAGTATGATTCGATCCATAGTCCTAGCTACAAAAGATTGTTGGCTTTTTTTTTTTTTTTTT